AATAAAAGGTGCATATAAAGGTAGTTCCATATTTATTACACTATTTTTATAATCAGTGGCAATTACCATAGTGGTCTGTATTTCATATGCCTTTATCATTACAATAATATCAATTAATGAACACACTATGTTTCCAAAAGACTTAAAGATAACTCCAAACTTAACCTTAAATATCATAAATATAGAAGGAAATAATGATATGATCTCCTAGAAATAGTTTAGGGTGAGAATTCATTTCAGAATGATGTACTGTGTATTAGTATATATTAACTGAAATTTAGTGACAGATTATGTTAGAGCCAAAGGCTATAGATAAAATCACCATTAAAAATACAGCATATTTGATATAAATAACCGTGACTGTGATTTGACAAAAGAAAATAAATAGTACATGTTCACAAAGAAGCCACCACCAAGGGCTCCAAGTGCCATGTCCAGTGTTACACTAAGCCTCTGCCAAGTGTCATCAAGTACGTGCAGAATTTTAAATATATAAATGTACATCGACATACTAATGCTGAATTCTGATAACCCAGAGACACACATATAAACAATAAAATCCATACTTAGTTCTTTGTTTTATTTTTAATGACAAAGTGAAGACTACTTTTCCCTAACTTACAAGTTTTAGAAATATTCCATGTTATCACCTCCGAGGGGATGTATTGCTTTAGATGTGCTATCAATTTTCTTTCTTTATTAATCTCTCTTATTCCTGAGTTATTCTTATAACTCAGTTTTCCCTTTCAAAATGAAAAGGTTTGGGCCAATTCCAGCCTTATTCTAGTCATCCTTCAACAAATAAATATGTATTGAATGCCTCTTTTGTGCTAGGTGTTGTTCTAAGTAAGAAAAACAATGAATACAGCAAAATATCTCCTAAATTTTCTGAGCAGCAGGTATCAGGAGAGGGAGTGATAGCAAACAGAAGAATGATCATTTCAAATCATGAAGGGTGGGATAGAGGTTTTTCTTGTAGAAGAGGCTACTACAGTAGTTTAAAGCGGTGTTGGTTATCACACACTTATTCAAATGTGCAGTAGCAGTTGGCAGCTTTGCATAGCTTTCTAATATGGAAAAGTACAAAGCAGGAATGTAGGATAGAGAGTGATTGGGGTTAGAGGGCCCATTAGTAGGAGTGGCCAGAAAAGGCCTTGGGAAGCCCCAAGGATGGGAGTAGGTAATGACAAAAATCTTAAGGAGGACTATTGTAGATAGAGGGCTGTTGAATGCAAAGTTCTGAGAAGGGATCTGTCTCAGTAAGCACTAGGCTCTGAAAGAAATCCTGTGTGTCTGGAACAGAATGAGTAAGGCAGAGAAGGGGAGGGAGGGAGAATGGAGAGGTAGATGTGAGTCAGAATACAGAGAACTTTCCAGACCATGGTATGCTGCTTATAATTTTAGTTGTAGCAAGAAGCCATGGGAAGTGTTTAAAAAGTAGAGTGATTTTAATTGATTTTTTATTTGAAGGTCCCTTTGATCACAGTGAGGATAATAGATGGTAGGTGTGGGGAGGGGTGGTTGGACAAAGACGGGAAGACTGGGAAGGAGGACATTGCAGAAGTCCAAGATGTGATTTTGAGTTGGCCAAAGAAGATAACAGTAGAGATAGAGATAGAGGAGGAATATTGGGCTTTCACACATGTATTGAAGTAAAGCTTTTCTAATGATCTATGGGTAATGCTAAAGATGAGGATTAAAGAGGACTGCTTCAGTTATGGAATTAATATGTAGCTATAGCCTTGTGTGACTACTTGAACTTAAATTTAAATCATTTTGATACAGGATTCCCCCACTCAGGGCTAGACAGGGATGCTCCCATTCTCTAGGCCCAGGTGAGCTCAGAAATCAGACCCCTATTTCCAGGTACAAACAGGCTGCCTTTTCCAGGCCACACCCTCTGGGCTCCAACAAGATCAGGAATAAAAGCAGCCCGAGATATTTTCTGGTGGTTCTCCCTAATCCCTTTCCTGAGGTAAAAACTGCAAAGACCTAATAACCTTGCCCCAGAGGAGGGACCACATTCAACTTTGAAAGGCTATTTTTCCACTTACCAAATCCTAGCCAAAATATAATTCTCCAGACGATGTGTACCCCTAGACAATGGACCCCAAGAGATTTCTGACTCAGGTCTTCCCCTTTGGCAGAGTCTCTGGTGCTTTTTTTTTTTTTTTTAACTCCTTCTGTATTCCTTTCTAATAAAATCCCATCTTACCACTGATCTGTGGTCTCTGGGTTCATTCTTCGAATGCCTGAGACCAAGGACCTACTGAAGAAGAAATTCTAGTATCATTTTAAAGCTAAATTAATTTAAACATTCCGTTTCTCAGTCACATTGGCCATATTTTAAGGGCTTAATAGCCCCATGTGGTTGGTGACTACTGTATTGGATATGCTATGGATGGTGCTATTATGAGATTTTGTCTTAGTCATCTTTGTATTATCAGTGCTTATAAGAAGCCTAGACACAAAGGTATTGAAACGTGTTTGCTAAATGAATACATGAACATAGACTATTGTGACTTTGTTTTTTAAGTCTGTACAGTATAAATATTTTTCCATTCCAATGTGGCAATATATGAAAATCAAACATAGTTATTTTGTTAAATGAAATAGATCAGTTGAAGAATATGCATTCTATAATCATATTTTTATTTAGAAATAATTATTTGTCTGCATACATTTTGCATGCCTGCTTGGAGAAGGGGAAGGAACAAAAGTGGAAGTGGTGGGGATTGAGGAAAATAAAACACAAGAGAAGACACAGAAATGAAAAATGGGGTCGGGAGGTCTGACTTAGCTTCTGGTGCAGCCAGCACCGAAGCACAAAACCTTATTTTATGGTATCTCTGCAGGGTCGTTTTGGGGGAAGTAGCATAGACAAACAACATATTTTGGGTTTTATAACATGATTAGAAAATATAAACAACTTTAGCAAAGACAAATCATTCTGTTAAAGGTTTCTTTTTTTTTTTTTTTTGAGACAAAGTCTTACTATGTCACCCTCTGTAGAGTACTGTAACATCACAGCTCACAGCAACCTCATAGTATTGGGCTTAAGCGATTATCTTGCCTCAGCCTCCCAAGTAGCTGGGACTACAGGTGCCCACCACAACCCCTGGCTATTTTTTTGTTACAGTTGTCATTGTTGTTTAGCAGGCCCAGACCAGGCTTGAACCCACCAGCTTCCATGTATGTGGCTGATGCCATAAGACTGTGCTACCAGCACTGAGCTGTGTTAATAGTTTCTACTTAACTTCAGTAACATATGTTAACAAGTAAAAAGGGAAAGATTATAAGAATTTCTGCACAGTTCTTAAAAATTAACTAGACACAGAAAGAGCTAGTGACTTCTGGTAGAGGGAGCATGAAGAAAGGAATACAGGGCTTGGCACCTGTAGCTCAGGGGTAGGGCGCTGGCCACATACCTGAAGCTGGTGGGTTCTAGCCAAGCCTCCACCTGCTAAATCAACAATGACAACTGCAACATAAAAGTAGCTGGGTGTTGTGGTGGGTGCCTACAGTTTCAGCTATTCAAGATACTGAGGGGAGAGAATGGCTGAAGCCCAGGAGTTTGAGGTCACTGTGAGCTGTGATGGTATGATACTCTACTGAGGGTGACATAGTGAGACTCTGTCTCAAAAAAAAAGGCGGGGGGATAGGGTTGTTTTGGGAAAGGAGGAAAAGTAGTTGGGGGTTCATTCTCTGAATGTTCCCGCGGCTGTGGGGGCCCTGCCGCCTCATGGTCTGCTCTCTCCACATATATATGTATGTGTGTTTGAAAGGATAGGAAAAAAGTCTTGAAGAGTGCACAGCACACTTTAAATAACATCTGGCAGTTGAGATTGGGGAATAAGGAAGAACTTTTTCCATAAAAAACTTGCTACCAAGAAAATGAATTACTTTTCAGCAAAAAAATAAGTAGCAGATAAGGTAATATGTTAATTTTCTAGATATACAAAGAAAAATAATGGCTCTTCTCAATGACAAATATTAATAAAAGACCATTTTAAGAGTGACTAGAAAAAAGTGTTCAGAAAAATGGTTTTGAAGTCTAAGGACAAATCATAGCCATCAGCCTAATGGATATTACATGTAAACCCTGAAATCAGTTTCCTAAGAGTGTGCAAAATAACGGTTCCCCCCAAATATGGCTCCCCTGCTAAGCTGCAGAGAAAGATAAGGCCAGATGGCCATGCTCATTTTTGTGTTATACCTCCTGTCCCAGCAATATGCTTTCTCCCACCTCTCCTCATAGAAACTACTTTTGCTCATTGCAGGAGTAATCTTCACCCTGGGAATGGACTTAGTGGTAGGATCTGAGTCAGAATACTGGCACACTGACTGTGATAATCCTCTTACAGCCTTACCTTACTCCTCATTTAGTAGTTTATGAGCTCACAGATGCTAGACCAGCATTTAGTTCATAAAATGAAGATGTTCTGTTTGACAGGACCAGATCTAAATTGCTGAGACAAGGACCCTAAAGCGTGAAGCGGTGCCTTGAACAGTTAACAAGAGCCATCTCACACACGCTAAAAGTCAACCTTGTTTCAAATGAAGATCTTTAGATGCCACAGTAATTTCTTAGGTATAAAGGCTCTTATTATGAAAATACTAAAGTAAAATGCAAGTGGTAAATAAAATAACACAAGAAGACCAGTTAAATTAGCAACTCTGTTATTTTATTTCATGCTCAGTTGATGGAAGGAAAGGATATTTTCATCAAATAACTGAAATGACTGAATTTCAAGGTATGAATATAATTACCTGGAAAATGGCATTAATAGTAGTTTTGAAAATGAGCATTATAGATGTGATATCTTTGTAATGATTCCGTATATTGATTATAAATCATTCTTAAATCATGATGATTCTAGAGTTAGATAAAACTCCAGCAGGTTGCAGACATCCCTGGGACCTGGTGTTTGAAGAGGTTGAGCAGTTTGGTAGATTATTCCTTTTTTAATGTTCTTTTTCTTCCTGTTTCTGTTTTTCAGACCCACTATGAAAATGGGGAATATATTATCAGGCAGGGTGCAAGAGGAGATACCTTCTTTATCATCAGCAAGGGAAAGGTAAGGTTGGTGCGATAAGACAGCGATACAGCGCGGGCGCCCAGGCTGAGGTAGCAGGGAATTGTGCTGCGTGAGTTTGACCGTCTTCTGACACTGACACTGCTGGAAAGATGTGTGAGAATGGATCTTCCAAAAAATTATGCAGGAGGAAGAACATGTTTAACTTTGAAGACTACTAAGTAGCCTACGTGCTAATGATTCCACTGATATATCTGTGGGAATAGAAAATTCTCCATAATTAATATAATGAAGAAAAAATGGTCATGGTGCTTAAAAAATCCATCTAGTTATTAGAAGCATTAGGTTTTCTATAAATGATACATCTGGGCTTTGAAATCACATGGACTAAATTTGAGTCTTGCTATGAAACTTAATCACTCGAGTGTCCTTAGGCAAGTTGCTTAACACTCTATAAGGATAGAAATGTATTCAGGTTTTATTGCATTTTTATAAATAAATATTGAATGGATACTAAGAAGCTACTAGAAGTGATAAATTATAGGAGAAGTGGTAAAAAATGTGGCAGCCAAGGGAGGTAAGTGGAAATCCATACTTTATTCCTGATATTGTTTTAGTTTTTCCACAATATAAATCTATTCTAATTCACGTTTTAAAACTAAAAAGTGAAATGAATTGAAAAGTGGAAATTTATTTAGATTACTGATATTACTCAAATTAATTTTAACAGTAAAGAGATAATCATTTTTACATTTAAGTTTTGTTTCATCATAGCCCATTATTTGAATTTATTTTTCCTTATGTTATCCTTAAAAAGAATTCCTATCTCTGTACGCATTAAGTACAGAAAGAGGTGGAGAAGGAAATGCTGATAACATGGGGCTTATATTCTAGTTTTCGTCCTTATTATTGTCATTTAAAAAAAGAAGTAAAATTCTATCTTCTAATTTACACAACGACTCTGTTCCTGTATAGCTCATGTAGACAGAGATTTACAGAGCTGCAGTGAGTAGAGTACAGGAAAGATAGTACGTCTTATTGAATCACGTTTTAGATAGTCCTTCCTGGACTAACTACTTTTGATTCAAGGATATGCGTACGTATGTCAGTGTTTACGCCAATGGAATGTCACACAAAAATGAAGAAAACAATATTTATGCCTGCTTGTATTAATTCTGTCATACCTGTTCTTTTAACTGATATCTGAACCGAAGTAGAACATACAGTCTGTCTTCTTGAAAGGCATAAAATGACATGTCTGGCCACAGTTATGAATAAAATTGTATCTTGTATTTTCCACTGTTACAAGATAAAAAATGTTGATATTTTCTGGTTTATATGATAGATGGTTAGAGTTTCCCATCTACTGTTTTATTATTTAATATGGCTTAAATAATCAGGGGAAATTGAAACTCCTTGTGGATATAAATGATTTGATTAGTCTCAGGGGAATTTTTGTGCTAATGATCTGGATTTATTTTTTCTTTTCTACATTGCTACTTCTTTGCTATCATGGAGAGATGTGTTTATTTATTGAGATGGATTTTTGGCAGGCTTCTGTGACCACCCTATTACTGCAGATTGCACTGCTTAAAGGAAGTAGTGCCTCATAACCAGCTTTAGATGAAGACAGGTGCATTAGTGGTGGCTTTTTTTTTTAAAATGAGTTTCATAAATAGTAGAGAAATTACACCACAGGAACAAATTCCCTTGGCAATATTTCAGAGCACTGTGAGGATTCAGAGGGAGAAGCCGTGAGAATATATTTGACTCTCTTCACACATTCAAGATTTTTTTTTTTAAAGTTAGGCCTACATTTTTAGCAACTTAAAATTTCAGGTCACATAAGTTAGTTACTATGATTCTTAATTGTATTAATTTTATGATAATTAATATGGGCTAATATATTAATTCTGATATAATGTATTAGAATCACTATGTTAAGTCTTAAGAAGCAGAAGGCAAAGTGAGCATTCTTTGGTCAGAATGGTGAAAAACAGAAAAAAAGTGATTAATATTAACAAGAGTTAAGTTCAAGTTAGTAGGCAAATAGCCTATAGAATAGGAATTTTCTAAAGCTGTATGTTTTCTTTTTGGTATACTGATATAAGCTAGCTTTCCCTTGCGTTTAAAAAATTTATACGGGGTGTATAAAGGCCAAAACATTTTCCTTGTTACCACTAAACTAGCTTTTTCTTAGAAAATCCTATGAGTCAGGAGACCCCAATAGGGTCTACTGAGCTCTAATGAATTTCACTTTGTTCAGTTCCTTTTACGTAAGCCTAAAACAATTTTCATTTTTACATTAAATTTGTCTACACAGAGAGAAAAGCATTGTAAAATAAACTTTGAAATACTTGTTTTTCCCCATTAAACATGCACAAATTGATTTTTCTAAAACTGAAGATAGTGCTTGCAGTGTTGATGTCTGTAATACTTGGTGCCGCTTCGAGTAGAAGCTGAGTTAGTTCTTTGTACTTCAATCAGTTCATTCCAGTTGCCTGGAAACATGACTTCCTCCCCTCCCAGTGAGCTATAAAACACAGAAGAATGCTGCATACACTCTTGCAGTTGTGTTGCATTGAAAATGAACTCTCTCTCCATAAATAAGCTGAACCAAAATTGAACATGGTTGGTGGACAAAATCACAGAGTTCCAATAATAATTCAAATGCTTTTTGATTTTTTTCCTGATTCCATTCAATATACCTTGCACACTACCTTTAGAAAAAAGCACAATTCAAAAATTCTTGTCTACGAAATGCCATTTATACATGTGGCTTTGTTTCATAGAATTAACAAGTGTTAGGATTAAACATATTAACTTAACACAATGCTCATGCTCAATGTTTCAGAATGTGGAAAAAATTTGCTTACAGAAGTTTACTTGTATATGTATACACATGTTTATAATGATAGCAAAAACTGAGAAACATTTCCTTTTAGATGAACAACAAGATAAAAATGTACCTTAATAGCACTTTTTTTGCAGTGTGGTATTAGATATCCCAACTATTGTAGTAAGTCAAGAAAAAGATAAAATATTTTGAAATGTGGAATTGCTTTATACATAGCAAAATACAGTCACCACTAGCTGCATAGAGATAGCTATTGCAATGTCACTGCTACTAATCAAAAATTGCATATTTAATTTAAGTTAGTTAATTTGGAGAAACGGAAATTATTTGCAGATAATATGATTTTGTTTCTTCTACTTTTATGTAGACAGACATGTTATTGTAATTAATAAGAGTTTACCAAGATCCTCATTGTTCACTATATTTTTCTTTGTTAATGGATTTGTTCTCTATCTGTACCATCCAATACAGTAGCCATTGGTTTCATTTGCTATGTAAACTCAAATTAACTCACTTACATTAAATTGAATATGCAATTTCTAAGTAGCAGTAGTGACATCGCAATAGCTGAATAGCTATATGCCTCTGGTGGTGGCCATATTGGACACTAAATACCGTACTTGGGTATAATGCAATTCCGTACAGAAAGCACATCCATGTTTTTGGTCCAAACTTTCAGGAAAGTGCCGGTTGAGAACGTGGTTGGCTCTCACCTGGGAGAGACAAATCTGCAGAGAGCTAACACTCCCCTGGTAAACACGTAGATGGCACCGCCCTCTCACAGCTGCCTGATCTGTGAAGGCCGCCCCTCCCCTGTCTCCTGAGAGCCCTTCTCTCCTTGCACCATGAAGGCCATAGCTAAGATGGCTGTGTTCTTAGCTGGTAGAAGAGGAGCTTCAGAGGGTAGAAGGAGAGCTTGGGCCAGGAATAGGTAGGGCCTTGTTGGGGCTCCCAGTCCCTTCCACACAGCCAGACCTTAAGCCTAAGCCCAGTCCTCACCCAGCAGGCATGTATACAGCCTGCCTCTCCATTTCCGCCACCACTCCCTACCCGGATTGGAGTGCTCCAGGGAAGCCACTTTGGCCTGCTATCACTGTTCCTGGATCCTCCTGGGTTGGAACCCTGTATGGCTGGTAGGCCCATGTGGGAGAGAGCATGGAAGCCCCAAGAGGTCTGCTGGGCTCCCCAACTCCTGACTGATGCTACCCATGTATAAGGCACATCCTTATTTTTCCCTGAAAAATTTGGGCAAAAGGTTGCACATTGTACGTGGCAGAACATGATAACTTGACACTTTACTGTAAATTAAATATTGAATAAGTCACATAATTTAATAATCCACCACATTAATTATCTAAAGAAAAATCACATTATCATGTCAATGGATGCAGTGAAAGAATTTGACAAATATTCATTCACAATAAAAATTCTCAGTAAACAGATAAGAGAACATTCTCAATCTGGTAAATGGTATCTACAACATGGCTACAGTTAACATACTTAATGGTGAAAAGTCAATCAATGAATGAAAGCAATCAATGGAGAAAGGAAAAGTCTTTTCAACAAATTGTGTTGAAACAAATAGTAATCCACGGGCAAAAAAAAAAAAAAAAAAAAAAGGTAAACCTTTACAGAAACTTCATGCCTTACATAAAAATATAAAAAAAAAAAAAAAGGTTTTAAAGTATAATGCAAAGTATAAAAATTTTAGAAGCAAACTTTTATGACTTGGGATTAGTTCCTAGACATGCCACTAAAAGCACAACCCACAAAGGAAAATTGATAAATACACCATCATCAAATTTATACATTTTACTCTGTGAAACTACTGTTAAGAGAATAAAAAGGAAAACTGCTAACTGGGAAAAATATTTTGAAATGAGATATCTGGTATGAGGTTTGCGCTGAGCATATATAAATCTATGCCTGTGTTTAGATTGATAAAACTGTATACCAAAAGAAGAAAATAGTAAATTTTACTATATAATAAATTAAAAATCCATACATATTTCTAAATACTGGTAACATCTACTTAAAAATATGCTTTAAAAAGATCATTTCCAAAATCAAATATCTAGAAATATAACAAAAAGTGTTCAAGTGCTTCAGGAAAAAAATTTTATTTAAGATTATTACATGAAGAGCAAAAGACCAGCATGGCAAAACATCTTAATGGAAGAGAAAT